TAGACGCTAATATGATTTGGGGAAAAAAATGAAGTCACTGTATGACAACTTAAAGTAGAAGGAATGTCAAAGATCTAAAGCCAGAGAATTTAATGCCAGCAAAGGATAGTGTGATAATTTTAAATAGAGGCTTGGCTTTAAAAATGTTAAGATAATGGGAGTATTGGATTCTGCTGACCAAGAGACAGCAGATAAGTTCCCAGATGCCATTTAGAAAGTTGTGGAGGAGAAAGGATATCTTCCTGAGCAGTTTGTTTTTGTTTTTGTTTTTTTTTTAACTTTTACTTACTTACTTTTTCTGAGACAGGGTCGCACTTTGTCTCACAAACTGGAGTGTGGTGGTGCGATCATAGCCCACTGCAGCCCTGAACTCCAAGGTTCAAGCCATCCTCCTGCCTCAGCCTCCTGAACTTGGCTAATTGTTTAATTTTTTTGTAGAGATGAGGTCTTGCTATGTTGCCCAGGCTGGTCTTCAACTCCGGACCTCAAGTAATCCTCTCACCTTGGCCTCCCAAAGTGCTGGGATTATAAGCATGAGCTACCACACCTGGCTGAACAAGTTTTTAATGTAGATGAAAGTACCCTACACTGGAAAAAATGCCACAAAAGACATTTACTAGTAAGGAAAGGAAGTGAGCAATGGAATTAAGAAAGGAGAGAATAGGCTAACTCTTCTGTTTTGTGCAAATACAATCAAGTTTATGATCAAGACTGCCCTTATCTATAAAGCTGCTAACTCCTGAGCCTTGATGGGAAAAGACAAACACCAGCTGCCAGTCTTCTGGTTGTACAACATGAAGGCCTAGAAAATGAGAACTCTTTTTCTGGATTGGTTCCAATGATGCTTTGTACCTGAAGTCAGGAAGTCCCTTGCCAGTAAGGAACTGCCTTTTTAAAGTTCTGATACTGGACAATGCCCCTGGCCACCCAGAATCCCATGAATTCAACAGAGAAGGTACTGAAGTAGTCTACTTGCCCCCAAATATAATGTCTCTAATTCAGCCTCTAGATCATGGGGGCATAAGAACTTTTAAGACTCATTCTACATGGCACTCTATGGAAAGGATTATCAATGCTATGGAAGAGAACCCCAAGAGAGATGGCATCATGAAAGTCTGGAAAGATTACATGACTGAAGATGCCATCACTGTAACAGAAAAAAACTGTGAAAGCCATGAAGCCTGAAATAATAAATTCCTGTTGGAGAAAACTGTCCAGATGTTGTGTATCTTTACAGGATTTATGACAGAACCAAACAAGGAAGTCATGAAAGAGATTGTGGATATGGAGGGGGGGGGGAAGGTGGAGGAGAAGAGTTTCAAGATATGGATGCTGGAAAAATTCAAGAGCTAATAGACAAACACCAGAGGAATTAACAGAAGATGACTTGATAAAGATGAGTGCTTCCAAATCAGTGCCAGATGATGAAGAAGATGTAGAAAAAGCAGTGCCAGAAGACAAACTGACACTAGACAATCTGGCAGGAGGGTTTTAATTATTCAGGACTGCTTTTGACTTCTTTTAGGACACGGACCCTTTTATATTATATGGGCACTGAAACTAAAGCAAACACTGGAAGGATTGGTACTATATAGAGACATTTTTAGAGAAATGAAAAAGCAAAACAGAAATTAAGATGTACCTGTCTCTCCTGCATCTCTGAGACAGTAAGACCAATCTCTCCTCTTCCTATTTCTCCTCAGCCTACTCAGTGTGAAGAAGATGAGGATGAAGTCCACTATGATGACTCACTTGCATTTAATAAATAGTAAATGTATGTTCTTTTCCTTATGGCTTTCTAAACAATTTCTTTTCTCTAGCTTACTTTATTGTAAGAACATAGTATATAGGCCAGGTGTCGTGGCTCATGCTTGTAATCCTAACACTTTGGGAGGCGGAGACTGGAGGATGCCAGGAGTTCGAGACCAGCCTTTGCAACATAGTGAGACTACAGCTCTACAAAAAATAAAAAATTAGCCAGGTGTGGTGGCACACACCTGTTGTGCCAGCTACCTGGGAGGCTGAGGCAGGAGGATTGCTTGACTCCAGGGGTTGGAGGTTGCAGTGAGTTAAGATGACATCACTGTACCACTGCACTTCAGCCTGGGCAACACAGCAATACCTTGTCTCCAAATATATATATATATATATATATATATATATATATATATATATATATGCAGTATATAATACATATAACATATAAAATATGCATTAATTCTGCAGTCCTCAATCCCTGGGCAGTAGACTGGTACCAGTCCCTGGCCTTTTAGGAACCAGGCCCCACAGGCTCTACCTCTGCCTCAGCCTCTGCCTGCACCCTGCCCCCCACGTCCACAGAAAAATTGTCTTCCATGAAACCAGTCTCTGGTGCCAAAATGGTTGGAGACCACTGTGTTAATCAACTGTTTATGTTATTAGTAAAGCTCTGGTCAAAAGCAGGGTGTTAGTAGTATGGGGTAGTCAAAAGTTAGATGTGGATTTTTGACCTTGCAGGTGTTGGCATTACTAACCCCTGCATTGTTCAAGGGACCACTGTACTTTATTAGCTTATTTACCTACCCATCTCCCCAAACTGTGAACTCAAGGGGTACACAGACTAAGTATTTTTTCTCCTGTAACCTGAGCTCTTAGCACACTTCCTGGAATTTAGTATGTATTCAACAAATAATTGTTTAATTAATTAATGGCACACTTAAACATATACTCTTTATCTCCTCCATTAATACTTTTTTCCAATGTTTTATATTCAACTCCACTATATGCTGGCATGTTCAAGTATTTAGAATTATTTGGGAGCAAACGTTTTATCTTTGTGGAAAAAAAGGACATTAATTTACTCTATAAAAGTGTTATACCAGAGATATGTCCTAATTTCATGAATGCTTTGGTGTGTATACAGGTTATGCTTCCTGAATATAGCCAAAGTTGGAAAATAATTCTTCAGTTCCAGTAATGAGACAAAGTATCACTACCATCACCTTGAGACAAGGGTTATGTAAATAAGGTAGGAAATGAGAATATTTAGCAAAGAAGCCTATAAAAATGAATTATGCCATTATGTTAAGTGAAATAAGCCAGAAACCAAAAGACAAATATTGCATGCTCTCACTCACAGGTGAAATCTAAAACAGTTGATCTCACAGAAGTAGAGTATAATGATGGTTACCAAAGGCTGGAGTGGTTAGGTAGGTATAAAGAGACGTTAGTCAATTCCAGTTAGATAGATAATTAGATAATTAGATAATTCCAGTTAGATAGGAGGTATAAATTTCAAGAATCTATTGTATAGCATGAATTTATAGCAAGATAATTATAGTTAATGACAATATATATTCTTAAAAATTGTAGAGAGTGGATGTTATGTGCTCTTACCATAAAAAATGATAACTATGTGAGATAATGCATTGTTAGCTAGATTTAACCATTTCACAATGTATATATACTTCAAAACATCATGTTGTACATAATAAAAACATTATCTGTTAAAAAATTATAATTATATTTAGTATTTCAAAGTTTTCAGGGCATCAACAATATTCAAGAAGTTTCTATTATTAAGTGCTATGTTGTTTTCTATGTATGAATCTTATCTCCCTCAGATGAGATCATTTTTATTAGCCTAAGTCTAAAATGAAAAGATTAGGTCTCCGAAGACAGTAATCACTCAACAGCTATTTATTGAGTAATTTAAAGATTTAACATGAAAGCAACCTTTATCAAAGCATCCCAGGTGATACATTGTTAAATAGTAAGGTTGTTTTCTCTGAACGTGGTTCTTTAAAAAAAAATTTTTTTTAATCCTCCAAAAACGAAAAAGTCCAGTGACTATTTAACAATACTAATTTCAGTTCTTCAAATTTAATCAGTTGAAAACTTTCAACAGGTCACTGAAATTTAAAACAATTCAATGGCAAGAATTTCAATGAGGTTTGCATATATTTAAAAGTATCACAGATCACTGTCAAATTCAATAATTTAGTAGGGCCGAAATGATTTGGGAGTCCTTGTCAGTTTAGACATTTGTCAATCATGAATGCCTTCAAAAATCACCTACCACCCAGCCCCCTCAGTTCAGTTTCGAGAAAATTTTTAAATCCAAAAACATAGCTCTAAATTACATGTTTTTTCCGCACACATAATTCACATTCTAGTAAGAAAGCTCTCGATTCAGAGTTCACCACTTCAAAAAAGTACATACACACCTAATTGTTCTTACCGTTTTGGGGGGAAAGAAACCCAAATTGTTTTGTTATTTGCAGCTGCTTTAACAGCAAACGACAATTAAATGTGTGAACAAGGTTGTCAAAGTAACACTTGTCATTCACACTGCTTAGGAAAAGATGATCCAAGACTTTCAGAAACACTAATTAAAATTAATGAAAGTTTCTCACCGGGACTTGTCAGAAAGGTATAAGTTGGCAGCGGAAAACCAAATTGCCTCAAACATTAAAGAGTTCTCAACTGTAAGGTCTAAATCCAACCCACTTACCACTAGGCACTAACGAACTAAGCACCAACACTCAGCAAGCAACTCATTAAGGTAACACTTCCAATCCTTTCCGTATAACACAAAATTCAGAAAAGGACTTCATTGGGAAGGCGGAAAGAATTTTCTCTCATAAACCAGAAGAGGAAGGAGCAGGGAAAAGTCTCTCTCCTCTCAGTATACTATCGAGCGAAGAAAGGTGCAGGCTCCCGCTAGCAATTGTTTGATAAGTCCTTAGGGTTTATCACTTCACCAACCTCATCTTTAACTCAACGAGCACGAAGGCACTCAAAACAAGAACATTAAATGATTCTACCCACCTCTGGCCCCAAAGAAACCCGGAAGACCCTCACCCAGGACTCAGGTGGCCCTTTCTCACCTGGGCCCCGCAGAAGTCGGCCGTCCCTACGTGAAGCTCACGTTTCAGCAATACGCCATGCGATTGGTTGACTTGGGAGGAACGTCTCTGTCTTATTGGCTACTAAAGCCGCGGTAGGGGTGAGGAGGCGGGAGTTTGCGGCCGGCCGCTACAGGCCGGCTGTTCGAGTTCCCAGAGTTCCTATTGGGTCAACACGGAGGCTCCAAGATGGCGGCAGCGGCAACCTGCGGCACAGGCGCTGGGAGTACTGCTTCTGTGGCATCGGCTGCCAGCAAGAGCAAAGTCACCAGTTTCCAGAGGAGGGGTCCTAGAGCCAGCGGGACCGACAGCGGCGGCCTTCGACTGGTGTCCATTGCGGGCACGCGACCGTCGGTGCGGAATGGACAGCTGCTGGTGTCAACCGGGCTTCCAGCCCTGGACCAGCTCTTAGGTCGGTTCGGAACGAAAAACTGGGCTCAACCGAGGGAAAACTTAGGGAGGGGACCTGTCGGGGAGCCACTGTAACCCCTCTTCTCTCTCTTACCCCTAAGCTTCAGGATGTGGAGAGAACAGCCTGATCTGATAGAGATGGAGGGAAGGAGGGATTGTATAGCGCCTTATAAGTGCTCTTAACTAAACGTGTTTTAACGCCCCCGTTTTCTATTCTCGTTCCCTGTGCCCGCCAGCCCCTTTCTAGATTGCAACGTGGTCTGTACATGCTTTTTACCCTGAAATGTTTCCTAGTCAAGGGAAAGCATTAATATATGGAGACAGTTTGACTCTCATTTAGAATAACCTCCTGGTCCCTGAGTACACTCTTCTGCCAACCCCGGTAGCTCAGGGTTTGGACTAACGTACAAAAGTTTGTATCATTGTGAGAGACAGGCTTCGTTAGAAAATATTGAAAATAAGTGACTTCCCTTCTCTCACCTCCAAACTGCTTATCTCCTGGTTAAACCTTATTGGCTTTAAGACTGGGGATGTTAAAGGTTTATGTTGACTCGTAGTTAGAGTCTGTCATTGATTTTTAGATAATCATACCCATATCTGCATTATCTGTGTGTATATATTTTTGATGTATGCATTTTGCTTCCCATAGTTGATTTCTGCTACATTCCAAACGATATTTTTAAATTTAATTCACATTTTAACAAGAACAAGAAATATAGTTCTTAGGCTTTCTTTCCGAGAAGCCTGCTGAGGAATATGCTTGTTTTATGACTGTTAAATTGAGAGGATTGACTAGATTGGTGGACAGATCTGTCTATAAAGCTTGTAGATTAATTAATTTCTATTTGAATGCTGCTTCATTTTAAAACAGTCTGTGTTTTATAACTTTTTTCACAGGGTGTGATGTGTACGTCTGTTAAGTCTTGTACACTTTCATAAAATATCGCAACTGCCGTTTCTTGTCCTTGTACCTCACTTGAAATTTTCTCTTATTTTCTCCCCCAAGTGGGCTTTTCAGATAGGTTTACTGCAGAGTAAAGTAACAAGGCAAGCAACCTATCAGAAAAAGTATGGCTTCTTATTAATTCTGTTATTTCTGGATATTACTGGACCCTGAATATTTCTACATGTTTAAGTGTTTTCACTTAATTGTCTTGAGTCTGTTGTCCTCCTGAGAAGCATGGTAGCAGAAACAGAAATGATTCAAAATATCTATTTAGCAAATATTTATTTCACCATTTTTCCCTTGTGAACCTCACATGGAAGCCTTTCCTGGCTCTTATATATCTATGTTTTTAATTCAATGGGAATATGTAACTTCATCCACTTTATTAAAACTCCCCAAACAAAAAAGTTACATTACTGGCATTATGTCTTCAGTTCCTCATTAGAACAACAAAATGTGCCTAGCACAGTTCCTGGCACCTAGTAGGTTCTCAATAAATTCTTGATTAAAAGAAAAATAATGTATTAAAAAAACTGAGGCAAGAGATAATGAAACATGTAGGACAGAGTTACATGCTTGAACTTTAAAAATAGACTCAAAAATTTAAGTGATATAAACAGTCACAAAACTAGTGACCAGGAAGGCTGATCTTTAGGCTCTAAATTTAGTGTTCTCTGCACTGTGCTACAGCTACAGCTGTCTCAAATTTTTTTTCTTTTTTTATATATTCTTTTTTTTTTCTGCATATTATGGGGGTACAGATTTTAAGGTTTCAATAACTGCCCTTTCCCCCCTCCCCCCTGTCTCAAATTTTTGAGAACTCTTCAGGGGTCATTGACCATTTATTGAACCTAAGATTAATGATTTAATTATAGTCTCTTAAAGCACCCACCAAAGAGAGAACCCAAAGCACCTTCTACATGGGTTTCCACAAAGATACAAACTTGAACAGTAATTTTTAAATTTTCCATATTTGCCTGGGGGCTGGAGGACTCTAGTACTATATTTGTAACAAGCTTATGCTAAAAATCAGTGTTTATTAAGATGATTGAAATGGTATCAGTTGAATAATTTGAAATATTTTGAAACATTTTGCATGTATGCAATTCTTAAAGTACATAGAAGTTGAAGTTCTTTTAATAGGAGTTATTACATTTTGAATAGTAAATATGTCCAGAAGTATTTTAGTTGTTAACTTCATAATGATATTTTTGTGTTTTGATTTTTTTTTTGTATGTTCCTATGGAGCAAATACTTTACATTTGTTTATCATTAAAGCATTTAAAATCAAAATATTTGACTGCTAATATGTATAAATATAAGCAATTCAGACTATATTATTACTCTAAAATGTTATTTGACTCAAATTATGACAAGCCTACTATGACCATATTGTAACAAAAATAATAATTATTGTTGCCTAAATATATTATGTAGCTACTGTGTAACAAGTAAAGATTGTATTATAATCTCTATTTAGTGCAGTGACATTTTACTACTGCCACTGTGACATCATTATAACTTTGAGCATAGCTGCAAAATATATTTGAAAGGCATCATACAGACTAATTTAATGTTGAACATTTGATAATATGCTATTTTCATTGCTTACTCCAAAGTATTTTATAAATTTGAAAATTCCCAATATCTGCATATTTCAAACATGATCTGATCATACATTAATAAATATTTTTATTCTGACAACCTAACTTTATTGTTAAATTTTAATATACATTTCCCAAGTTAGCTACATTTAAATGTTTCAGATTCTTAGATTTCCTAACCCATGTTCTCAACCCTGCCCTTCTAGGACATTTTTATTGTTAGTTGAGGAATTTCTTGTTTATTCCCATAAGATATTATATATAGTCCATCTTAGGACCTTAAGCCTAACCTGGGAGAATTATCCCAGCCTCTTCCTCCAAAAGGTTGCTGAAGGAAGGGAGACTTTGCAGATTTAACTGGCTTAACCTCTGTGCTGTTCAGAACTTATTAAATTTTGACAGGAATGTCAGATAGGGATTTGGGATAAGTAATAGTCCAGGAAAAGTACCCTGAAAGAAGCTTGATAGTTGCTTCCATTTTCAACACTGATGTCAAAAAGTAAACACTGGTGGGCTTGTTTCCTTTGCTCTACTGTATCTTAACCTGTACTAAGATATACAGGTTAAGTATTGGACCTTGGACTATATATTTAACACAATCTTGGTTACGATCTTTTAGCAACTAATACAGTTAGCTGTACATTTAAAGAAAATACAGTCTATTCCTTTTGTATTGCTATGTAAAATTGTTTCCTGTGATTTAATTTACAGAACCCTTATCACTGTTCATGCTTTATTTTGATTCCCATATTTGCCAAGCCAATGGTTGTGTCATAATCAGGAGTCATCAAGATGTTTCTTAAGGAAAAAAAAGTAGACTCATTAACAAAATAACTGCCACTTAATTTGAGGTATGGCATTAATTAAGTAAAGCTGTTGCTATGAACCATGGAAAGGATATGAATTTGTTTTTTGACATTGCATTTTTCCCAAAATACCTTTCTATAATTTTAAGCAAAATTATTTTTCTATACAGAGATCTGGAGAGGACTGTTATAAATCGCTGTTATCTTTCGTGACTTATTTCTTTTCCCTTTTACTTTCTCTAACTTTGAAAAAGGGAGAAGCCCTTGTCGAAAAATAAAGTGTCAATTTGGGCCTTCATATTCTAGTGTATTAATTTGACCTCATTACATAAAATTTATAGTTTAAAAGTTTGTATTGGGGGGCATGTGAGGATTGAATTTTTGCCCTTTAAAATACTACTGATATTGTTTACTGCCCACATGGATTGAAACAACAACAAAAACCCTTTCTTTTATCTTATGATAAATCATAAGATAAGAGGATCTTAGGCCAGGCATGGTGACTGTAATCTCAGTAATTGGGGAGGCTAAGGCAGGAGAATTGCTTGAGCCCAAGACGAATCAGGGCAACATAGAGACACGTCTCTACAAAAAAGTTAAAAATTAGTGGGGCATGGTGGCATGTTCCTGTAGTCCTAGCTACTCAAGAGACTGAGATGGGAGGATTGCTTGAGCCCAGAAGTTCAAGGTTACAGTGAGCTATGATTGTACCACTTCACTCCAGCCTAGGCAACACAGGGAGAACTTGTCCCTAAAAAAACAAACAAACAAACAAAGACCTTGATACTCAATAACAAGATCTTAAATTTTCTGATTTTTTTTCAGTATTAAATATTTTTTATGGTTTTAAGACAAAATGTTTTATTTCTAAAAGATGTAAAATCTTGAAATTAGTACCTTAGGAAATTTGCAAACTATTTTCAACCATTCAAACTGATGTATACTTATGTGTACCTGAAATACTTCATTTGTATTTTTAGAAAGCTGGAAATATACATAAATATACTTTTTAAAGAAGACTAGAAGTAAAACCAAGAATCAAGACTTATTTGCTTAGTTACTCAGGAAGTGTTTTGATTTTTCTAAGTTTGGATGAAAGGGGAGCTGAGGCGATGAACAGAGCCATTTTACTGTTTTCATCACAGAAGAAAGATGATTGCTTCCTTTCCCCATTACTTAACTGTGAAACATTTTAGTGGCCTATTGGAAAAAGTTATTTCTATTTTAATTGGGAAATGTTAGTGTGAAGTCTGTGTTGCTTTTGAAATTAGATAAAATTACTAACAGATTACTGAATTTAAAAGTCTATTAAAAGCTACTTTTCAAGGAATACATCGAGAAATCCTGTCCTGGTTGGTTGGTTTTAGCTTTTTATTTATTTCTTGATGGGGCCATGGCTACAGACATATTTGAACTTTAGTTTATACCTTATATAAATATATTTTGCCAGGTGTGGCGGTTCACACTTGTAATACTAGCACATTGGGAGGCCAAAGTGGGAGAATCTCTTGAGGCCAGGAGTTTGAGACCAGCCTGAGCAAGAACGAGACTCCCATCTCTACAAAAAACAGAAAAACTAACCAGGCATGGTGGCAAGTGCCTATAGTCCCAGTTACTTGAGAGGCTGAGGCAGGAGGATTGCTTGGGCACAGGAGTTTGAGGTTGCAGTGAGCTATGATGATGCCACTGCACTCTAACCCAGGTGACAGGTGAAACCTTGTCTCAAAAAAAAAAAAAGTATTTTGCAGAAATGCTGTGAAATCTTGTCTCGTTAAAATCAAATTTGGAAGAGTAAAGGAACTTTGCTGCTATTTGTGTGTGTCTGTATGTGTAGGTCAAATCATTTCACTTAATATGCATAGAATAAAGCTTGATTTAAAAAGCTTTAAATGAGTTGATAAGTTTAATAAGTTAGTATTAATAAGTTCATAAGGTGGGTTATATCTTATTTCCCATGACCAACCTCAAAATGACCAACATTTGCTAATCTAAATTTGAATCTAGTGAATGAATTCACATAATAGATGAGCTCATTAGGGAAAAAAAGAACTTCTTTTTGTAAGAGAAGTCTTATATGATAGTTGGCTGCTAAAAGTCTTTTAATATGTTCCCACGTTATGTTGTCTTAAGTAATGTTCAAATATTCCATCAGAATTATAATGCACATGATATTTTAAAAGTTTGCCCATGCTGGCCTTGAACTCCTGGGCTCAAGTAATCCTCCCACCTTAGCCTCTCTAGTAGCTGGGACTACAGGTGCACACCACTGTGCCCAGCTAGATTTTAAAAATTTGAGTGATGTTTTATGAATTATCAGGAGCAGAAGGTTGTTTGGATTTATAAAAAACCACATTCTTAGCTTAGTCTGATTTGTATAATGCCTTACTTAACTAGTTCATCAAGGGGAAGTATTCTTACTAATTATTACTGTTACAATGATCACCATTTATCAAATAGCAATAACCTTTTAGAAGTTTATTGTAATCAGAAAATAATTGCTAGAATGGTAAGGTAGCTCTTACTGAGTAACCCTCTGGGCCAGAAACTATGCTAGATATATCACTTCATTTAATTGGGAAATTGTTTCTCTATCAGTTCTCATTGTCCCACTATGAATGTTAAAAATCTTTACTTCCCTGTCTATTCCAGTGGAGGCCTTATATAAATTCCTAATTTGAGGAGACATAAATGTAATCCAGGGGAGGTTAGGTAGGAAATCTAAATTCTCTGTATAGGAAAATAGGTTAAAGTGGGAAACGCAACTAACTAACTTTTTTTTATAGTACCTGTTCTAGCCTGGATACTGCAATGTCTATTGTATGCTTATATTATTTCATCTTATGCATACACAGAATGGCTATTATGTAATTAAATTGTTTTGCATGTAAGGAAAAGTAGGGAAGTAAGGAATTGGAAAGTATGATGTGAAATGTTCAAAATAGATTAAAAACTTAGTAGTTTGTATGTGGCACAAACTATGAAACTAAACACTTAGTCTAATATTTTCCCAAAGCAAACTTTTGTTCTGATTGATTTTGATTGCTGTCATAAAAATTTCAACTTATGTTAATCTTTTTGTCTGAACAATAGTTGACGTTTTCCTATTTAGTCTGGTACGGCTATAGGTGCTATAATGAAGGAACTTGTCTAAATATGAAATTAAAATATGTATTCAGCCCTATAAATATATAAGCTTAAACATAAACACATTTAAAGGTACTGGGTTTTTTTTTTTTTATTACTTCTCTACCAGTTTGAGATGGTCTACATATTGTCATAAAATTGATAAATTTTAAGCATAAATCAGCATAAGTCTCATGTTGCATTTTATTCTGTGTGCATGTGTGTTACCAGATTTCAAATTGTTTGAAACACAGCAGTTATGTTTGCTTACTTGCATGGCAAAAAAATAAACACTATCAGAGGAACTTTTCATACTAAGTTTTTCTACATAGCATCTGCCACTGTAAATTTTTTTGAAGAAAGTTCTCTATAGGTGTTCTAAGTGTGTCTTTCACAGTTTTGTACACAAAAACAAAAAGCAAAACTATTAACATTGTCTTCAATTGTTCAACAGTTTTGAGTAGCTTTTTTTAAAATTAATTATATTACTACTTTTTTTTCTTTTTGGAGACAGAGTCTCACTCTCTTGCCCCTGCTAGAGTAGTGTCATTGTCATCATAGCTCACTGCAACCTCAAACTCCTGGACTCACGTTATCCTGCTGCCTTGGCCTCCTGAGTAGTTGCAGGCCACCACAACTGGCTAATTTTTTCTCTTTTTAGTAGAGAGGAGGTCTTGCTTTAGTTCAGGCTGGTCCAGAATTCCTGGCCTTCCCCCAGCATTCCAGAGTGAAAGCAATCCTCCCATGTAGGCCTCCTAGAGTTGGAGGACTGCAGGTAGGCCAGCAGGCCTGGCCTAATTATAGTTTAAATACATCTATTTATTCTTTGATACGAATATTTGAATTTTTAAGTGAATTTGTCAGTGTTTGAGATCACAAATGGTAGCATTTTTACAAATGGGGTGAAGAACAAAGTATCCGTAGTCTAATGTCATTTTAGTATAATTCTAGTTTTTTAAAACTTGATTTTAAATTGATTTTTAATGGTTCAGTAATAGAGGTATACATTTCATGATCATATTACCATAATTCACGTATTTAAAGGAACATTTTCTAGTAATATTGGAAATGTATTTTGTGATTATGCCCTTTCTTGTTTGAAATGGCAAAAATGTTAATTTTAAATTCTAAATTTATTTAGCACATGTCCAGACTTTGTATATATTGTTCATAATAAAAAAATTACCTTTAATTATCAGTTTTTTCTTCAAAGGCTTACTAAATTTTGAGGGTAAATATTAAATGGAATTTCTATCATAATAACCTTTCTTTTCTATGTTGTACTTCCATAGTAGTTAAGTTACTGTGAACATTTAGGTCTTGGCTATGGAGTTAATTTATTAACAAGTGCTAAATATAACATTGGAGTGCTTAACTTAACCACAGTTATGTTGAATGCTGCATGGTTCTATCACAGGAGAAAGGAGGATAGTACAGTATATTATGAGAGTAATTGTAATGTGTAGTGTGTAATTACATATAATATATAATTATTTCATAATAGTACCTTGAGCACAGTATTGCAAAGGTAATTAAAATGTTGTTTGCAACTGCAATTTTAAAGTTATTGAAGTACCTGTTCTTGTTAAAGCCTAACATCTATGCTAAAGATAATGTGAATGGTAGATTAATTTTCTTCTTGGTTTTGTTTCATTTCCAGGTGGAGGTTTAGCTGTTGGAACAGTTCTTCTAATTGGTTAGTATAACATACATGCTTTGCACTTCCTGATCATAGTTTTCTGTTGTGCATAATGATTTTGTGGATTTCCAGTTCTGAAATTAAATATTTAAGCTGTTAACTCTCTACAGCAATTAAGGTAAATTGGAAATTGCCTTAAGTCCTCATTTAAATTCCAATGTTGATCTGAACTTGAAATAAATTTGGCAAATATATCTGAAAGTGTAGCTCTTATAATTTAAAAACAGTTACAGGGCATTGTGCTCCATTTTTTTAAAAAGACTAAAATTAATGTTAATTGATTTTTTTTGGAGACTCAGTATTTAGAGCAGGATTATTGGAGTGATTAATTTGAGGAATTGATATACTAAGTCCATTGTATATCACAGATATCATCATTTTTTATTGAAACAAGTAACAAACTAATAAATCATAATTTTTCTTCATCTTAAAGGTGGAAGAGTTCTTATTTAAATATATAAACCTATTTGCCCTCTTTTTTATTTAATAGTATAGGTCACAGAATCTTAGAATCAAAATAAACCTTGGTGTAATGTTTAATACATATACCTGTAACATATCTATTGTTATAGTTTTGTCTCTGATATAATACAAATTGACTGAATCTACCTACTTTTTCACAATACCCTTAAAATATTTGAAAATACCTATTTTATCACCTCAAATCTTCTGCAAACTAAATAGAATCCTTTCTTAACCTAGTTTTTATGAGTTAGGTTTTCACTCTTCACTCTCCTGATTGTCCTCTTGATGCACCTTCTGCATTATCTCTTGAGCCATGCCCAGAACTGAATACAACTTTCCGTATTGTGTATGACCTATACTCAGCATACTGGGACTATCCATTGTGATAATCTGGACAGAATTATTAGTACCAGGTACCAATAAAGGTTATATTCATTGATTCCTCTTAAGGAAGCAAAAAAAATATGGTAAGTATTCTGGAAGAATTTGCCCCAGAAATGATTGAAATAAAAAATGGTAGTTCCTAAAATTTTGCCTGCACATAACATTGGTGTAATAAATGATACACCATCTGGAAAATTCACAGGAGTTATATAGAATGTCTTTTCCCCATCCATGCTGGATAATTGAAGAGTAATAACATTATTAGTGAGAGCTGCCTTCATTTGACTCTTACTATGGGTCATATATTGTGCAAAATATGTTACATATTTTCTCACATGGTACAACAACCTTGTGAAATGCTAAATGTAGTCCATATTATCCCCTCCCATTTTATAAATGAGGAAATGAGGTTCAGAAGGGTGAAATAACTTTCCCAGTAGCCCATAGCTAGTCAAAGAACCAGGATTTGAATTCTGGCATGACTCTAAGGCCTGTGTTTTTTTTATAACTGTTCTATAGCTTTCTTAAATATTTTATTTAATAGCCACAAACAGTAAAATAAGCTTGTGCCCCTTTTAAAACATTAAAGTTTTATGTGGTAAAGTAAAGCCCGCATTTGTGGAAATTTTTCTTTTAATAACTTTTCAAATTTCTAAATGAAAGAGTCATTATTTAATTAATGCATAAAGAGGATAGAAATTGCAGCACTGTAAAAATCCTTATTTCACATGATCAGCATTTCCCCATTCTAGTCAGAAAGTTTTGTTTTTAAAACAATAAAAAGACATATAGGGACTGCTAATAACATCTCCAGTTGTATAATATTTCTTAAAGATTGGTTTGTATAATTGTAAATTATTACTATTAAAAATGTAATACATGAATTTTTAAAAAATCATGCCTTTAATCAGTACTATTTAAGGACTTTGAAGACAGAATTATTCCTAACAGTAGATGTAAGAGGGAAAAATAACCTGTGATCAAGAAATTCTGGAAATCTCAATGACAACTGCATTTTTAAAAAATTTATCTTTGAGTAAGTAAATAATAATTGAAGGTTTTATTGAAAAACATAATTTACAGTTTTGGTATAAATAAATACATGAAATAGAAAAAGAAATGTAAAGAAAATTAGGTTGTTTCCATGGTTCCTCTTCTCCATCCCCAGAGATAACAGTGCTGTGAACATTTCTACATAAGTAACATACATAAAAGAGTATTCAGCACCTTGCTTTTTTCATTTAATACATCTTACAGAACAATTCATGTGCATTTGTATAGATGTACCTCATTCTTATTAACAATTTATAGGATTTGATTGTATGGCTGTGCCATAATTTATTGAAATAGTTCTCTATAGAAAAATTTGTGTTAATTCTATTTTGCTATTACTAACAATGCTATTTTGCATAATCTTACATATAACCTTTGCATATATATGTAAATATATGTAGAATAAATTCCAAGATATAGACTTGCTTGAATGAGCATATCAAATTTTGTTAGATATTGTTCGATTGCTTTCTCAAGAGGTTATACTATCATATACTTAAACCAGAAGTTATAAGAATACCATTTTACCCTCATATCACCCTTGACAACATTGTATATTGACAAACATTTTAATATTTAATAGTCCAAGTAGATTAGATTAGCAAATGAGGAGTCTCTTCTGCTTTTCCACTTTTCTCTAATTCCTAAGCCATGTGACTTGTATGATGAATAAAATCTGCCTTAAGAAATGGAAAAATAGTTCCAAAATACAAACTAAATATGGGGATTTAAGATCAGTGCTTAGGGGCCTATGGCGTTACTATATTGCTTATCATTGAAGGAATATATTTTTAATATGGGAGTAAGAAAAATTAAAGCATGAAGATTATTTGTGTTAATATCTTTTTACTATAGATTGCCAGCTTTTAACCATTTTCTCATTAGATTATTAATTTACTAAGGTAATTGTATCTGTGAGCCTGTACCTGTGCATGAGTGTGGGTTTTCAGAGTAGTGTATTTGCAGTTTCAGTAGCAAATACTAATGAGCACTGCCAGAAAAACCCAGATTAATTCTACTTTAGACCATCTGAATAAGCAAAATAAATAAATAGGAATACATGAAAGTCCATTCTCTGATGAATAAATTAAAGGACTAAGGGACTCCTATATGTACTTTAAAAGTCAAAGGTAGTTTTCAAGTAAAAAAAAATCAAAGATTTTTCTTAAAACATATTTAATTCTTAAGTACTGGCATAGTATTATTATTCTTGTCAGTTGTCTTTGAGATGTTTTATTTAAATTGCTTTCTGACAGTCTGGTATATGGGTAAATTTGGGACACTTTAAAAGTGATAACATAAATATCTAGAGTTTACATGGTCTACATAAAGGATCTTGATCCAATTGCAAAGAGATTGAGCATTAAACAGATTTAATAGAAGTTGCCAGTAATTAAAATACAAGTTATGTAATGTTTATGAATGTATTATTTTTAATATAATCTCTTACATTAGTAATACAGTTTAGTTTTAGTAGTGGGAGATAAATGATATGCTGTTGAACAATTAATTACATTTAGTTATGAGTATGCTTTTTTTGTTCTTTGTTTTTAAGAAACAAGGTGTTACTCTACTGCCAGGCTACAGTGCAGGAGCCCAATCATAGCCCACTGCAGCCTTAAACTCAATTGATATTTTTTATTTTAGAGACAAAGTCTTGCTATGTTGCCCAGTCTGTTCTCAAACTTCTGTACTTGAGTGATCCTCCCACCCCAGCCTCCCAAAGTTCTGGGATTACAGATGTGAGCCGCAGCACCTGGCCGTACTTTTGTATTAATTATCTATTTCTGTGTAACAATATTAACACAAATTTAGCAGCTTAAAAACATATTTATTATCTCATAATTTTTGTGGGTCAGGAATCCAGGCATAACTTAGCTGGGTCCTCAGCAAGCCTGCAGTAAAGGTGTCAGGCAGGGCTGGGTTCTCATCTGAAGGTTTGGCAAGGGAAGGATCTACTTTCAAGCTCACATGGTTGGTGGCAGCATTTATTTCCTTCCTGGCTTTTAGCCAGAGGCAGCCCTCTCTGTAGGGCAGCTCACAGTATGCCTTCTTATTTTTTCAAAACCAGCAATGGAGAATGTCTTTCAGCAAGATATATGTTCCAGTCTTATATACAAGTGACATCCCATCACCTTTGCAGTAATCTCTTGGTTAAAAGCAAGTCACAGGTTCTGCTGCACTCAAGGGGAAGGGATTACATAAAGGCATGAATACCAGGAGACAGGAATCGTAAGGATCACGTAAGGATGCTTCTGCCACACTTTTCATAATTTTATTATTTCCTATAATAGCAAAAAACTAAGCACTCTCAAGTATCCTCTCACAGAATATTATAGTATTAGTATTCTTGTCCATTGTCTTCAACCCTTTTGAATTTGCTGAGCTGTATTTTTCTACATTATGCAATAAATTCTGAGCTTTTTTACTTATTACGTTGGAGTTGGCAAACTACAACCTACTGGCTGGCAATCTACCTTCTATAAATAAAGTTTTATTTGGAACACAGCCATGCTTGTTATTTGCATATTGTGTATGGCTGTTTTTGTGCTTTAAGAGCAGAGTTGAGTAGTTACAACAGAGACTATATGGCCTATAAGCCTAAAATATTTACTTTCTGACTCCTTAAAAAACTTGCCAATTCCTGTTTTATATTATTATATTTTATAATCTTCTAATTTTATAGTAGTACAACTTTGTTAAAGGACTGAAATAGTACAACCTGATATCATTACAGTTCTTTAGTAAAATCACCTGACCTTTAATACTGACTCACTTAAGCTCCTACAATATGTTTGGCACTATAAGACCTTATATATCTTGGTTTTTACTCTTTAGGAATTTTAAACGGGATATTGATTGCACATGGAGTAACTACCGTGTTTCCCCAAAAATAAGACAGGGTCTTATATTTATTTTTCCTCAAGAAGGCACCCTAGGACTTATTTTTAGGGGATGTGTTATTTTTTTTAAGTATGGTACAACAATCTACATTTATTCAAATATAGTTAAGTCGTCTTCTTCTGGAACATCATCATAACTCTCCAAACCCTGAATTCCATCCTGAATTTCTTGTGACTCTATTTCCTTTAGAA